GAAGCTGGAAGCCTTTTCCATACATTTTCATAGCCATACATATAAGTCATCGGTGACATTGCTGAGAAGTCCTCAAAGAAATGGTAAGGTAGAAACCTTATTGAAGTGACTGAGGAGTGAGTGGAAAGTGGGACAGAACCAACTTTTCCAAGCTGGAGGGCGAGAAGGGAAGGTTAGTATCCAGAGGGAGAGGTGGGATGGAAGGATCATTGTTAAAAAGGGGTTTTTGTTTTTGTTTTGGGTTTTCTTTTTTTGGTCTTTTTGAGACAGGGTCTCCCTGTAGCCCCAGCTGGCCTGGAGCTCACGATGTAGACCAGGCTGGCCTTGAATTCACAGAGATCTGCTAAGTGCTGGGATTAAAGGCATGTGCCACCATGGCCAGCCTGTTAAAAAGGTTTTTTTTTACATTTATTTTGTGTGTGTGTATGCATACACATATCACATATGTGTGTGGATCAGGGGACACCTTGTGGGAGTTGGTTTTCTTCTTCCACTATGTGGATTCCAGGGATCAAACTTGGATTGTCAGACTTGACCTGCTGAGCCATCTCACTGATCTGGTAAGAGCATTTTATTTTTATTTAGGTATATGGGTGTTTTGCCTGCATGAATGTAAGTGTACCACATGTATGCAATGCCCTCAGTGGCCAGAGGAGTGCTTCAGGTCTCCTGGAACTGGAGTTATAGATGGTGGTGAGCAACCAGCTGGGAACCAAACCCAGGTCCTCTCCAAGAGCAGCCAGTGTTCTTAACCACTGAGTCATATCTCCAACCTCAATATTTATTTGTATTCTTTAATTTATGTGTGTGTGTGTGTGTGTGTGTGTGTGTGTGTGAAATGTATGCCACATGTGTAGGTACCCATGGAGGCCAAAACAGGATACTGGATCCCCTGGAGCTGGAGTTACAGGCAGTTGTGAGTTATTGGGCATAGACATTGGGAACTGAACTTGGGTCCTCTGTACCCAAGCAGGAAGCACTGTTAACCACTGATCCATCTCTCTAGTCACTGATAGGATCCTTTATGAAGAGTATAGCAAGTAAGGTCCCAGGGAAATCAGAACAGGAGTGGATACAAACAACAGAAGACGTGATACTCATAGATGCAAGTGGGCTCATAAACTTGGCAGCATATCAAGGAATTTTGCTTCTGGAGCTTTCTGTTTGGGTTATGTGTCTATTAAGAGGCCAAAATATTTGCTAAAACTGAGCGGAGGTAGGCAAGAGGTTTAAGAAGGGTAGTAAATGTTCAAAATAACCATTGTGGAGATTAAGGAAGTGATTAGGAAAATAAAATAAGATAGACAATCTTATCACAGCCCTGGGTGAGGTTATGGGCCCTGTGTTTACTTACTTACTTACTTTTTAAAAATTTTTTAAATTTTTTATTCATTATTTTTATTTTATGTGTATGTGTGTATTGCCTGCATGTAGGTAAGTGCACCTGTGTCATGCAATGCCCACGGAGGACAGAAGAGGCCATTGGATCCCCTGGAACTGGAGTTATGGACAGTTGTTAGCTGCCATGTGGATGCTGGGATTTGAGCCCAGGTCTTCTGCAAGAACAACCAGTGTTCTTAACCGTTGAGCCATCCCTCCAGCCCCAGTTATTTATTTATTGACAAGATCTCATTATGTAGCCCTGGCTGACCTGGAATTCTCTATGTAGACCAATTTGGCCTCAGACTCATAGTCATCTACCTCTGTCTTCTGGGTGCCAGGATTGAAGGCATGCACCATAATGCTTAGCAAGGACCCTGACATTTATAATGGCATTAATATATAAGATGGTGTGACTTTTTCCTCTAGTAACTCCCTTCAGCTAGCTTCAGGCAATTCTGATGAACCCCTCAGTCTTTTGAGGCAGAAGGAGTTATTTCCTGGAGATGGATGGAGGTGACACTTATACATAAAGGGAATATTTAATGTCACTAAGCTGTCCACTTAAAATGTTTAAAATGAGGACCTGGATATAGGTCATTTGAAGAGCACTTAACTACCATGCATCAAGCTGGATTCGATTGCCAGCATCACAGGAAAGAAAAAGAATACAAGGTGTGTTCACTTCTTTTTTATTGGATTTTAGACTCACCCCATAGGAGGGATTCAAGTCTACTTCTGTTAACACTGTCAAAAGCCTTTGGCTGGGGAAACCATAGGTTCAGGATGGGATGGGAGGATGGGATACCTACTGCTAGTGTTTTCTAAATGAACATGTCAAATGGTCTTCTAAATATTTATGTGTATACCCACAGGTTTGTGCTGTTTTCATCCTTGATCAGGGAAACTTCTGTTTGCAGTGGGTGACAGTCAATGAAGAGACTCACAAGTGGTCAAAGTATCAAGAATAAGTTACTGTGGGGGCTGGAGAGATGGCTCGGTGGTTAAGAACTGCTTGTTTTTGCAGAAGACCCGAGTTTGAACCCCAACACCCACA